GGCCTCGGGCTCCGCCGACCCCCGTACAGAGGCCAAGGCTGCCACAGTAACGTTGACTTCGTGGCGGGGCTTCAAACGAGTCTCCCTGCGCCTGCAGGTGTGTTTGAACCGGAGCCGAGAGATTAATTTTATTCGTGTGGCAACCCACTCGTTCTCGGTCCAGAATCCGAGGCCAGCGAGGGTCGTGTTGCTCTCAGTACTGCAGCACTGGCGACATTACTGGAACTAAAACCTGAGCCAAGGTTAAAATGAGCGTTCGTAAGCTGACCTGATTGGGGCGCTCAGTTTATTAGCAGCATTCGGTCTAATTTCAAAACCTTGTGGTGTTACAAAATCAGGAGGATAAACAGTTGAATCTGTTTTCTTTGTCGTAGCTTCTCACTGTCCTTAATCTGTTTTGATGTTTTATTTTAGCAGTCTGAGAGGTTAAGGTAAATGTTAGACTTAAGAGGAATCGCTGTCATAAAAAGGAAAAATATGTTTATATTCTTATCTAACGTATCTATTCTGCAATTTGATACATCTCAATATGTATTAAAATATACTTTCTTCAACATTGGGTTGTCCTCTTTCTTGTTCTGCTTAATATGGTGAAATTGGATAGGTTGGTTTTCAGTCCGTGGCCATTTATAGTTGAATTTGGATTTGGGATCTTCTGAAGTGTGTGAAGGATCTCTAGTGTATGTTGACTTTTCTGAATGTCCCTGCTCACGCATCAGGACAAGTATACAAGTTATGTTTTCGAAACACTTGCAAACTTCTTCGTTGACGGGAGTAATCATCTTATTCTGCTTAGAAGTTTATATTGTAACTTGTGAGGGAGACTGAAAAGAGATGAGGAATATAAACTGATGAGCCTATAAATAGGAGTAATTAAACTACTAGCCTCCCTGAATGCTATGTTTGTGACAGCTGAGACAGAGAACTGATTTAATCTCTCCTGCTCTTGAAAAGGTGATTAGAAAAGCCCAATCACAGCATGGAAAAATGTATTGATTTTTTGCTTTTCTCTCTTCAGTTTGGTAAGAGGGAAATGTGCTGGCAATGTATGACTTATAAAACGCAGATCCTGCTGATCTTTCACAGACTGTGCTAACAAAAAAAAAAAAAAAAAAAGAGAATTGTAGCAGGGCTATATTTCCTACCATGCGTTAGTTTTCAAGAAAAAGTTTCCCGCTTAGCTGATATCCCCTTAGTTTTGCAAATTAGACCCTGCTATTTCACTGGTTACTTTTCTGCCAACATTTTCATCTTGCTGTAAACTAATAAGGGACTTGGAATGTTATGCTGCTGAACCCCCCAAATCAGAATTGCTGTAAGGAGTATTCCATGCATAGTGAAGACAGCTAGTTTAATTACAGTGTGGGTTTATGTGTGCGTGTGTTACTTTCTTGATTGTATTTATCGGCTGTGATGTCCTTTGCTTGGGATAGCCGCTGCACCTGCTCATAATAGAGGTTGCAGAAGGAAAGCAGAAAAAACTCTAAAATGCATTCCATCCCTATAAAAGGAAGTGTAAGAGAAAGTCCTGTATAGGGCTTATGTTACTGGTATCTGTGGCTGCAGTCCCCTCTGCTCTCTCCTCCAGTTTTGGAAGGGATGTAGCCACCGAGGTTCAAAAGCACACGTGTGATGGCAGTACTTCAAATGCAGCGATCTTGATCACCGGTCCGGAACCATTGAACAGAGATCACTAACACCCCCATTTTTCTATTTGGAGTGGCTGACAAATGCAGCTTCCTACTCAAAGCCAAAAATACAAAGATGAGAGAGCAGGAGTACAAGTTACCATTAGAACAAAAGTTACATAAAGTGCAATAAACTCCATCGGTCTTCCAGATGCAGCTTTTCTTTTGCTGCACTTACTTACTTTTTGCCATCTTCACTAGGAGTGTATGTATGTGTGGGGGTGAGATTTTTCTTTTTAGACAATCTGTCAACTTTTTAACCTCTCTTTTAAGCACAAGTTATTTGTAGTCCTTTCTGTTCATTAAATTATTATGTTTCTGTTATTTTACATCTTTTTAACAATTAGTGTACAGTTACTTCCAGATGCTTTAGGGCTTAGGGTAAGATACAGAAGATATTATATTAATTAAAGTTTATGGGATGTCACTATGTAATAAATCTGTAGGGCTGATTCCAATAATTTCTCCTTTGTATGTTTATACATTTTTGGATATAAACCCAAAAACTTGCAACAGTGTCTTTTGAATCCTATGTGCATTTAAAAAGCTTATAAACTGTTCAAAATGTTGCTGCACTCTGTTTGTTTGTTTTTAATTTTCTCCTAATGGAAGTAAAATTTTGGAGGTGGAAGTGTGGTAAATACATATATTATCAGCTTCTGCAAACCAACCTGTCATATTCTGAAATATTTAGTGTGCAGTTCATCCCAAGGTACCAATGCTTGTGCAGTTTCTTTTGTGAGACTGCATAAAACCAGACCTTTTCTTGGCCTTTGAGTAGTCATTAGGTAAATGTAGCATTATTTATTAATTCATTCATATTTGCTCTAGTAACTTGGAAGTATTTTTTAAATATTTTTTTTTCATGACCCATGCTGCATGGGTTTGATATTTTTGTTGTTCTTCTTCAGTTAAAGATATGGTAGTATTCACTGGATTTTCTTGATGCAAGCAGAATATCCTTAACTAGAAAAACAGCAAGATTAACAAGAAGAATCATTTACTTCTGAAATGGAATTGGTACATAAGTAATCCTAATTCCCATTTGAATGACTTGCTAGGGGTTCGGATATTCTAGACTCTCTAAAACTCTTCAGAATGTTTCCATGAGAATCCATGCCTGAAGAGAGTAGTCTGAATGAGGACTTGTCAACTTTTCAGTACAGAAAGAATTGCTGAAACAATTGAAGTAATAACCCTAAATTTAGCCACGCACTCGCATATTTTGCTGTTTTAGCAATTCAGCATGAAATGCTGGCTGTATGAGGAGTGATCAGAAATGCTATGCAATTTTTTTTTAGATCTAGCATTCTTCTATCTGTAATGAAACTGGTTGCTGAGTCTTTTGCCTTAACATTTTGCTTTACTTTGGAGAAACCAAGAACCTCGAGTATAAAGAGGAGCAGCCCGTGTTCTTTCTGCAGATACGGATGTGCATTTTCACTTGTGCGCTGCATAGTGTCTGATTTAAGGCAACTCTGGAAAAATAAAGGCAGTCTTTTAATTGCCAAATACAAGTCTGACAAAGCCACTAAAACAGTTCTTAGTTGCTGTGTTCACATATCTGTCCCTGGGCTGTGTGGTGGTTTGGTTTGTGTGGTTTTCTTTTTTTTTTTTTTTTTTTTTTTAAGTTTGTCTTCTAAAATCGTGCCTCATTAAAAACTCCTTTCATCCAGACCACACAGTTATAGTTTAGTACTGCAAGAGTGCAATAAAAATCCTCAGTTATAGATAAGAGAAAACACAGATGTGTTAACTGAATGGCTAAGAATAAGCCTCTCAAAAGTTAATGCCATAGGTGGGGACACTGAGCTGCTGAGATATAGACCATATACAGCTCTCCTTTGGCAGGGCACTATATTAGTCATTCAGAAGGCTGTTTGTGGGTGGTGAGTATCAATATGAGATTCCTCAGTATTTGTATTTAAGCGGGGTGTATTCGGACCAGAAAAATTGTAGTTAGAAGGCAGAGCGGTGCTGTTGTGTCTGGCAGCAGTCAGCACCGCGTTCACTTGAGGAAGGTGGAAGAAAACTGGGCAACTGAATCAGTTGTCCAGAAGTGAAGTTCCTTCCTGACACCTATCCGCTGGTGGTCAGCCTGTGCCCTACAGCATGAGGTTTTGTTAAATGTTTAATGTTTAAAATGTTGTCAAGTGTCACTTTGGATGTTTTGGCTTAAGTATTTTTCCTGATTGTCTTTCAGTTTCTTTGTGTGTCCTCTTTTCCAGGAGAAAGGAAAGTGCATGACTTGTGGACTCTGTTTATATTGTATCCTTTTCTTTGGTATCGTTTTAATCCAAGCAGTCTAAATATGTATAGATATAGCTCTTTCACTTACAAAGTATCTCTTACCAGTATGTAAAATTGCAATGTAATATGAAATGGACGACTTATACTTTCTGCTAAGGTATATGTTCTTATTTATTTAGGAACAAAATTCAGTACTTGCTGGTTTTGAAGCTGTTGAATTTTTCTGTTCAGTCTTGTCATGGAAGTTAACTCTGCAAACGGGAAGATCTTCTATTTATTTATTAACACTCTTTATTTTTAACCTCTTGTAGATGGTTTCATCCAAATATTACTGGGGTGGAGGCAGAAAACCTACTGCTAACAAGAGGCGTGGATGGCAGTTTTTTGGCACGGCCCAGCAAAAGTAACCCAGGAGACTTTACGCTCTCTGTTAGGTAAGTTTAAATTTTGTTTTGTTTTGTTTTTTTGTCTTTCTCCCCAGATTGGCAAGGGTCTTCATTTGGTGCTCTTCTGTGGGGAAGGAGTTGTAAATGAAGTACTTGTAAGAGATGAAAGAATGCGTGGATTACTTTTTGGTCTGTTCGCGCTTTTTTTTGTTTTTGTTTTTTTGTTTTTTGTTTTTTGTTTGTTCCTTTTTTCTCCTGTTTTCTGTGAAAAAATTCTCAAATACTTTTATCCAGCTTGGGGGAAACTATAGGTTGGAAGGTGGTGAATTCTGATTCTGCAGAGAGACAGAAAAAGTTAAGGGTAAGCAGAAGTAGACTCATAACAGCATTACTTTCAGCCCTTTAAAAATCTATTTGATAGCCGTCTGAAAGTAGCAGAGATGGTATGAATTACTGATTAAGCACATGCAAGGAAATGCTATGCAGACTCACTTCTTACAGGAAAAGTCAGCAAGTTTTTAAGGGCAACTGCTTCCAAAACAGGCCTTTTGTAACACTTGTCCCCTGACACCGTGTGTATAGTGGTAGGGATGGGGAAAGGACAGCGAGAGGAAGTAGATAAAGGAAAAGGGAAAAGTGGGATTGGTGATAAGGATAATGCTGCTTGGATGCCTTTGAGATAACAGGCCTTGTTGAACAGAAGGGTACTCTTTCAGAGAGCTGTTCTTCGTTAATATTAGAGGCTGTGGGAGCAAATGACTTGCATCAGGCAAAGGCAACTGTTTACTGAAGGAGAGATCTTAGCAGTTAGTGTGAAATTCCAGGGAAAGGAGCAAAGAAGCTTTGACGAGTGTCCTGAGAATGCTGAATTCTTCTCTCACCCCTCCACACCTTTTACTTGTGCAATTCTCGGGGGTCTGAGGGATTTCTATTGGAGATCATGAGGCTGCAGAGTTTACACTGGCTTCAAGGGATCCCTTTGTTACAGAATTAAGGGTTTTTTTCCCTATTCTTCCTGACTGTTGGACAGCCACTTCCCCTTCTTGCAAGCCACCGAAATGTGGCTGAAGCACACTTCAGAGATGCACTAGCTTAGCTATTCTGCAATATTTCAGTTGGAAAGTGATGCAAATGTAAGTACGGATTTCTCTAACTTGGACAACAGAACACTAAGTATAAAAGTGATTGATTAGAATCAGCTGACTTGTGTGGTTTTCCCCCTTTGTTTCAAATATTAGACGAACTGGAGCTGTCACCCACATCAAGATCCAGAACACAGGAGACTACTATGACCTCTATGGAGGAGAGAAGTTTGCTACATTGGCTGAGTTAGTCCAGTATTATATGGAACATCATGGACAACTCAAGGAAAAGAATGGAGATGTTATAGAGTTGAAATATCCCCTGAACTGTGCTGATCCTACGTCTGAAAGGTCAGAGAAATAGGGGTGAAAACCTCAGTGTCCATGCACTTAAGAAGTGTGTGTTTTATCCCTATTAACACTACAGGCAGCTTCCGTTTGATGAAAGAGTAGCCACTATCTTGTACTAAAAGTGGTCCCACTGATTTCAGTGAGGTTACTTGCAAAGTAGGCTAATAAACATGATTAAACGTAAACCAGTCTAAG